GGATGTGTATGATGATGCACTAAACTTCAAAGTTACTATGTGCGTTACGTTAAGGAGTTAGTGTGCAGCAGTACAAGGACCCTTTTATATACTTACTATCCTGTCTTACTTTTGTATGTGCCAAGAGCTGAAGCACACCCTGAAATACAGAACTTAAGAAGTATAGCAATGTGTGATAAATAGAGTTGTTTCCAAACATCAGTATACCTTTCTGTGCCGCACTTGACATTAAGCAACATTTCATGCATATTTTGTACTGTTATTTGATTTGATCGTGTCCATATTGGCATGTATGATCTTTTCCTGTGAAATGTGCTATTTCTCTTGTCTTCTGAAATATAATAAATCAGTATTATCCCATTTAGAATGCTCCCTTTGCATGTAGGTGCTAAAGAAGTGTGTGAAGCTGCCAGTTCTAGCTCAGCATTTAGTAAAAAATTGTGGCCTTCTGTCGTGGATATCCTCTGTTATTTCAACTCATGGCAAAGGACTGGACAACAGCTCTAGTTCCAGAATAGTTGGGTTAGCATTGGAGGTAAGCGACTGTTTTAAACTATCTCAACTATGGTGCACACCTTTCTTAGAAGCAACAATTCAGTATATGCTCTTCCATTTTTCTTGTGAATCTTGACTAACTCGTAATCCATCAATTATATCACGGGGTTTCTGTTTGTGAACATGAGAATCATTGATAACATCAGTTTTTTGTTACACCAATTGTTAGGTGCTGCTTTCTGTGTTAAATACGACTGGTATATTTTTCATTAGACACTGCTAGTTTAATGCCTCGGCTCCAGCACAAGAACTTCACTACGCGTAGTTGCGTTATGATTTTGGGATCATATGCTGCAAACGATTACTGGATAGAAAAATACTTACCGGAAAATCAGTGAGAGAATAGCCTGACAACCCCCAGGGTCCTCTATGCGTGCATCTCACTCTCATCCCCATCAACATGGGATTCGGGGTCCATCCTTCCCTCCACATTCCAAGTTGGTAGTCAGGAGCATTACAAAACTAGCAGGCAGCAGCCTTGAACTGCCAATCGATATTTCATATACTGTGAAAGTATCCGCTGCTGGCAATGATCAAAGTTGAAGCTCTTGATGCAAGTGTCGAAACGAGTTGCGGCAACTGCCGCTCAAGGTCCTCTGTTATGGGGGCCATAACCTTCCAGTGGAGGGCAGGGCCAAGCTGGGGCAAGTGGCCGGGAAGTCTACCTCGCGTAAGGATTGGTACCCGCAGGAAGCCCTTCAGTCATACCATATTAGGGTGGTGACTAATTGGTAAAAGCTCCTAGTTGAATAGGTTTCATATTCATAGCTGGACAGGTTTGCGTTTACAGTCGAAGTTAAACTCTCCTAAGTTGGGCTAGTCTGTCCTAGAAAATCAAGCAGTCAATAGACTTCAGTTCCCTAATCCCTAGCCCCTAGCCCCCACTATACTCTGACTAATTGTGTGGTGCGACGGTGCCACAATCTGGCTGACGTGGACTTGTCGTCCTGCAAGCACCTGCAGGGCAGGGCTGTCACGAGATTTTTTCGTCTTTCACAGCCCATGAGAAGAGCAGATCGACAGTGGAGTGATATGGTGACACGAGTACTGAGCAAGAGGAGTCCGCTGCCTGCCTCGTATCAAGAGGGAGCCTATTAGTAAGGTTGGCCTATTAGTGAGGTTGGGGCATGGGGCGCCAGCACTGCCGGGTTCCTTGCTGCGCTGATGGACCCCATAATCCCACCCTGCATACGGGAGTTGACGTCTATGTGAGAGTGGCTGGGAATCGATTAGGGGATGCCAATCTTTCCTGGTTGTGTGAGGATAGCTGGGCGGATTATAGCAGATTATTAGGCTGGAGGTTCGGGGACAAAAGATTGAGTGGAACACAAGGTTGAATGAGCACATGGTAGAGTGAAGGAGGAGAGGAAGAGTTAAAGGGCAAAAAAGTGTCATCTCAGCCACCTGTTCTTGAATTAGTTTTATAGTTTGGTGGCTGAATATGGTACTGGCCATATGATGTTTCTTTACATTAAATACCATTCCAATTGATATAGTCCATCTATACGGATATATAGAGCCTAGTACATATTTCTAGATTTACTTTGACCATCAATAAGAGCAATAATGTATGAGGTGTATCCCACAGAAAATATACCATTCAATTCATAGTTGAAAGGAGTTTTCAACGGTGTTATTTTTATAGCATACATTTCATATAATATTCATCTTACCGATGGTCAAAGTCAATCTTGAGATACAAATTTGGCCCTACATATCCGGATGGAGTAGGTTTTTGGGAGAGATAAGTTCACATTACACCCCTGAATTATAGCTGGAGTTTACCCTGAACTCCAAAACAGGTAAGGAGGCACCCCTCAACTATCAAAATTACTCGCATACTACTAGCACATACATATTATCATATCTTCCCCAACATGCTTTGAACTACCAAGGATTACTTTGCTAGCTAGACACTTAACAGGCTTAAATTGCTCCGGGTACAATCCTTTGTGAATGACCAGCTTTGGCACATGGTTTCTTATGGTTTTGAGAACTAACATTTTCTATATGATTTTTTCTTGTGATGTTCTATCTTCTATGACATATATGCTTTACAATAGTTTTATGAAAGCTATGCTCTCGTTGTCTCTAATTTTTGTGTGCTTTGTTCAGGTACTCGATGCTTTGATCTTATCAAGATTCATTACGGAATGGCTCCAAGAAACTGCACTTGAACAACTGTCGGAAATATCTCAATATCTGTATCTGCTAGTTGAAGATGGAAAATTATTGAAAGGGGATATAACCATGTTGAGTTCAATTCTAAATATTATTGCATCTACAATGAGGTTGTCTATGAAAAGGAAGATATACCAACCGCATTTTACTTTGTCCCTCAATGGCATATTTAAGTTGTGCCAAGCTATTGATGGCAATTCAAGAAGCATCGAACTTAAGCTATCAATGGAACTTGGTACTGATGTCGTCCTTATGAACGGTCCTCTGCCAATTAGTTCTGAAACGGTACTTTTTTGTGCCCTGAATTCACTTAATTACTGCTTTAGTATTGCGATCAGAATCTGAATCTAAGTGTTCATTGCTTCTGTTTGTGATCAGTATCTAAATCTTCATAATCATTTTCTACTTTTGTTTTGCAATGACAGGATAAGTCAAGAGCTGTGATGGTTGTTTCATGGGTAACTTCCAATATCTTCTGGTTGTGTAAACAAAAGTCTGCAGTTGAAATGTCATGTGAAGAGCCGCTAAACAACGAATGTCTACTATCAAAGATATTGCGTTGGTTAGTGGCTTCTGTAATCCTTGGCAAAATCTCCCGCATCTCTCCTGAAAAGAGGGGAGGTCTTGGCACGAGCACAAATAGTCCCGGAACTCTTCAGTCTTTCTTGAACCATTCATCTCAAACCGTTGAAATGGTGGATAGTCATGTTGCGGATGAGGCGCTGGCTGCCATTATACTTTACCTACAAGGTCACATGAAAAAGAAGAGTGATACTTTGCCGTCAGTCGTGACGGCTCTTAGCTTGTTACTTCTTGACAGATGCAGCGAACAAGGTACGCTTGGATCTGTTGCGTTATGATACTATAAGATGTTTCATTATATCTCCAAAGTTGCTATATGAGTTTGCTAACTATTTTCAAACCTTTTGTGAATCAGTTTTGGTTGATGGCCGTGGACAAATCGAAACGCTTTGCTCAAAGATACATTGCCCCGCCGAATCTAATCCTGCATGGAGATGGTATTTGTAGCAGTCTTATTATTTGCATATGCTTTTTGTGACCATGAGCAGGTGATTTATTAATCTTCTTTTTATTCTGTATCAGGCATTATTATCAACCTTGGAGAGATCCTACCTTGCAGCACACTGCGACAGAGCGAATGGAAGTAGAGCAGTCATGCCGAAGCCTGTTGATCATGTTTTCTAATGCCCTGAGCGCTGCTGGCTTGCCGGCAGGTATCCCGGTGCTGTCAGTTGGTGACATTGAGAAGTCTGGGCTGTTCCAGTGGGAAAGAGACTCGGTGGTTGAGCAGCCTCGCGCTTAGTTCGTCGACTGATTTGCAGTTGACTAGGCTAGTTCTTTTTGCGGGAAGTTGACTACTAGGCTGGAGAAATTAGTGAATTCACGAGGGTAATCAAACAATTTATACAGCGGGCTCATCGTTTGTATGATTTATATTTATTTAAAAAAGTGATGGCTGGTTCAGTTGGCGATTTTGGGTTTTAGATGTACCAAACTGAACATGTGCATGTGCTTGTGCGACTGATCTATCTGTTTGGAAGAAAAATGCTTGTGATCTGCGTTTAGATGAGATGATGAAGAAAAATGTGGTTGTTTTCAGCAATTTTCTCTGCTTTGAACTTGGATTTTGATACTTGTGGCGATTACCTTCCTTTTTCTGGGATTGCTTCCTGGGGTCATCTCTGTTGCCAAAGGAGTTGGAGTTTTTTTTTTTGTTTTTTTTGTTTTTTTTTACGCAAGAAGCGGCACGAAGAACCCAGTACTGCATCGACAAAGCCGTGGGGCAGTGCATTTTTCAGCTGGACCCAAAGAGAAAGAACACAATCTCCAGGTTGAACCTCGTTGTTGGGTCCGCACCAATTGGGATGGCGAAATCGCCGTAGTCACAGCTTATGCACACCATGGCCTTCGAACTGAGAGTGGAACTGCCTCCCTTTTGGCACACATGCCAGTAGGAATTTGGTTAATCGCCATTCCACTAGAAGAAACATAAGAAGCTCGATGAAGATCATGGACTCCTTTGTTGATGATCTCTGACTTGGTCCGTAGGCCTCAGTTCGATCCCCGTCATCGGGGGCTTTATTTTTCTTCCTCGGCTCCAGCGATCAACGATCCACGGGAGGGTCGGACGACTCGGTAAACTCGGGGGAAGATGGATCGTGCCCCTAGCGAATCGTTCGGATCTGTTAGTTTTCACCATTACTCAAACTCAAAGTAAGATGATAACACTAGCGGAGTAGGTAATGGCAGAAGAGAGCAGAGCCAAAATGGCCACCACCTCAAGCGCGGAGCTTCTGCAAGCTGAGTCAGAGCTGGTGCGCCACTCCCTAGGCTACCTCAAGTCCATGGCGCTGCACAGCGCGGTGAAGCTTGGGATCCCCGACGCTCTCCACCGCTGCGGCGGCGCGGCCTCGTTGCCGGACCTGTCCTCCGCCCTCGCCCTCCCCTGCAGCAAACGGCCATACCTGTCCCGGCTCATGAAGATGCTAGCCGTGGAAGGAATCTTCACGGCCGTGGATGTTCCCGCCGCCGGCGAGGGCGAGGGCGCCGCCACCGCGCCGAGCGTCCGGTACGGCCTCAACCCGGTGTCCCGCCTTCTCGTCGGCGGCGGCGTGTCCCCGTGCGTGCTCATGGGCACCTCGCCGCTGTTCCTGGAGGCCTCTCTCCGGCTGCCCCAGTGGTTCCAGAGGGACGGCGAGGGCGAGCCGGCGTTCGCGATGGCGCACGGCGAGAGCCCCTACGCCACCACCGGCCATGACATGGAGTTCAACGCGCTGGTGAACGAGGCGATGGGGTCCGACAGCCGCTACATGGCGGAGCTCGTCGTCCGCGAGTGCGGCGAGGTGTTCACGGGCGTAACGTCGCTGGTCGACGTCGGCGGCGGGAACGGCACCATGGCGGCGGCCATCGCCAAGGCCTTCCCGCATGTCAGGTGCTCAGTGTTGGACCTCCCGCATGTTATACAAGGCCTCGTCTCAACGCATGAGTCAGTTGAGTTTGCTGCCGGCGACATGATGGAATACGTTCCACCAGCTGATGCAGTTTTGCTTAAGGTACTACGTATAATTTATTTATTTTCAGATTTATTTACAGTAAGAAAGACACACTCTACTTCCCGTTCGCATTTATACCAATTCCTCACAAAACTAATTCCTCAAAGAATGAAAGGCACGACATGAATTGGCAGATTATGTTATGTGAGCGCTTAACAAGAATATAAACGAGTGGATCCGACAAAAAGAAAAGAATAAACGGGTGGAGTAGTGCTTTTTTTTTTTGAATAGTTTAGATTGCTTACCACATGTATCACATGGTTAGAGTAGTGCTATCTTATTGATAGTTTTTGACTTGTTGGATTGACAGTGTGTGCTACACAACTGGAGCGACCAGGATTGTGTGAAGATCCTGACAAAATGTAAAGAGGCCGTTACCCAAGGAGCGAAAGCAGGGAAGGTGATAATCATCGATGCTGTTGTTGGATCTCCCTCACACTCACAGCAAGTACTTGAAGCTCAAGTCTTGATGGATATGCAGATGATGATGCTGTTTATGAGCAAAGAACGTGAGGAACTCAACTGGCAAAAGATATTCACCGAAGCAGGATTTAGTCATTACAAAATACAGCATGTCCTAGGAATGCGATCCATTATCCAACTCTACCCATAGCCTATCCATGGATAGTCTTTTTTTAAAAAAAATAAAATGAAACTTTATTCATTAGAAATAACCAATACATCGTTTACGAGGATGAGTACAATTTCATTGATAGGCTCCTCGAACCAATCCGAAGTTGATGAAAATCTAGCTAATCTAGCAAGTTCATGTGCTACTCTATTAGCCTCTCTATTACAATGTTCGAATCTAGTCATGATGAAATCACATACGTAGTGAAAGCAGTCATTGAAAATTGCCGCCGCCGCACCCGTTGGCTGTCCTCCGTCCTGCATGGTCTCAATCACCTCTAGATTATCTGAGTTGAAGATTAGGCGATTGCACCCCGCCCTTTGCACTAGTGTTAGCCCAAATTTGAGGGCTAAAGCTTCTGCCATCAGAACATCCGCGCAATGGTCAATCTTTTCATTTCCTCCTGCAATAAACCTACCTTTGTCGTCTCGCAAAACCGCCCCCATCGTACCCTTCAGCATGTCCTGATCAAAAGAGGCGTCAACATTGAGTTTCATGAAACCCCTAGGGGGACAATGCCAACCCTCCTTATTCATGGACGCCTTTGAAGACGATGCATTTACAAAATTGTATGTGAGGGCTATGATCCCCATTCATATCTGAGTTGCATTCTCAATTGTTTCCTTGTGCACTAATTTTCGTCTCTCCCACCATAGATACCAAGCTGAAATAGCTATAATTTCTTGTACATTTTGGTACCCCATAATACGCAAATCTTGATTTGGGAGAACTAAAAGGTATTCCAGTATCGCCTATCCAGCATGATCAACCTCACAAGCTCTATCAATAAACTCATCTATCCCTAGCCTCTTCCAAACCTCCTTTGCTTTAGTACATAGAAAAAACATGTGCTTCGTGTCTTCTACACCCTAATAGCAAGTACTCCCTCCGTTCCAAAATAGATGACTCAACTTTGTACTAATTTTAGTACAAAGTTGGGTCATCTATTTTGAAACAGAGGGAGTAGGACAAAGGGGCGAGGTCTTCATGTGTCTATTAGCAAGTGTTGCCCGGTATGGCAGAGTGCCATGTAACGTACGCCATATAAATTTTTTGACTTTTGCCGGACAGGATAACTTCCATATCTGGCACCAAATAGGGTTAGATGTGGTTCACCCCGTCCCGTTGGAGTGTTATAGTTTACTCCCATACTGATCATTCCACTCCACGGAATAAGCAGACCGTATTGAGACCATACCATTTTTGTATAATTCCAAGCAATGAAATCTGACATGTTATGTTGCGAAAGTGGGATTGAAAGAACCCGTTCAACGTCAATGGGCCACATAGTTTGTCTAATCAGGTCCTCATCCCAATTATTGGAAACAGGGTCAATCAGATCAACCACTCTTGATAACAATTGTCCCTCCTAGGAGTCACAATCTTCCTAGTGGCACAATTTGTGATCCATGTATCTTCTCAAATATTGATGTTACGGAAATAATTTGCTACCCATGGTGGTAGCTACGCACAACCCCAATTTTTATCTCTAGTTATTTTGGACTATGAAAATTAACTCTATAACAAAAATATCGTGACTTTGGACCAGCCAGGCAAACAAACAGGAAATTATGCCAAAAAGACAAGCAAAAAGACTGAGAAAAGTGAGAAAAGACCCTTTCTACACATTGATAAGGCACTGTCAAAAAGGTAATAAAAAGACAAAGAGAAATGAGAAAAAGTCATTTCTATACAACAAAAATGCACTTGTGCCAATGCCATAAGAAACCTGACACCTCATATATAAAAAAAGCACTTATGCTAAAGGGTGTGTAGTTGCCATCCATGCGTGCATAGGTATCACCATGCATAGGAAATCACCTCTCATTGATGTTATGTACATTTCCCACTCGCCAAATATAGCCACATTTCAGAGTAGTAACGCCTGCCATAATGCTTTGCCAGGTGAAGGAAGCACCATGCTTTGGCTTGGAATTCAGCAAATCGCCATCAGGGTAGTACTTGGCCCTTAGAATAGTAGCACACAAGGAATCAGGATTATCAAGGAGACGCCATGCCTGTTTGGCCAGCAGAGCCAGGTTGAAACAATGGATGTCACGGAATCCCATTCCTCCTTGGGTTTTTAGTACACACATTTTCCACTAGGCCATCTAGTGCATCGTCCTCTGGTTCTCCTCGTCTCCCCATCAGAAATGTGTTATTGCGTCAATGATTCCTTTACAATGTTCTTTAGGAATTTTAAAGACCGACATTGCATATGTAGGTATGGCTTGGATCACAGCCTTGAGCAGGATCTCCTTCCCCCCGGCAGATAGTAGTTTTTTCTTCCAACCACTAATTTTCTTAACAATATGTTCAATTAGAAATTTAAAGTAGTCTATTTTATCAACACCCACATTTGCTGGCAAGCCCAAGTATTTGTCATTCAGGGCCTCCATCATTATATTGAGCGTTGTACACAAGTGTTGTCTGACCTCTACCTTTGTATTGGGGCTAAAGAAAATACCACACTTTTCCACGCTTACCAGTTGTCCCGACGCTGCGCAATATAAATCTAGTGCTGATTTTAGGGCCGCCGCATTATGTTGGTTGGCTTTCATCAAGATCAACGAGTCATCCACAAAGAGGAGATTAATTACTCGTGGGGCATCTCTACAGACTTTAACTCCTGATATGTTCCCGTTCTCCTCAGGATGCGAGAGCAAGGCATTCAACCCTTTCGTGCACAACAGGAATAGGTATGGTGATAGCGGGTCCCCCTGTCTCAACCCTCTAGTAGGCTTAAAACTCTCACTTTCCTCTGCATTTATCCGTACTTTGTATTCTACTGTTGTGACACATTGCATAATCAAATTAACCCACTCTTGAAGGAAACCCATTTTCAGCATAATCTCCTTTAGAAAAGCCCACTCGACTCTATCGTAAGCTTTGTGCATGTCAAGTTTTATAGCACACAAGCCCTCTCTACCGTCTCTTTTATTCTTGATTGTGTGAAAACATTCGTAGGCCACTAAAATATTATCCGTTATCAATCTACTTGGTACAAAAGCATTTTGTGTTGGACTAATAATTTCTGGTAGAAGGTTCTTCAATCGAGAGGCCACCATTTTTGCAATTATTTTGTATACCACATTACATAAGCTAATTGGCCTAAATTGGGATACCTTTTCTGGTGTGTTAATCTTAGGAATCATCACGATTGCAATATCATTCCAACCATTTGGGATAGTACATGTGTTGATTGCTTTCAGAACCTCCTCAATTAGGTCTTCCCCTAGCATCGGCCAGAACCTTTTATAGAAGATAACGTGGAGTCCATCTGGTCCTGGAGCTTTCAAGTCTCCAATATCAAATAAAGCCTTGCGGACATCTTTCACGGTATAAGGAGCAAGTAGAGCATTGTTTATTTCATTTGACACTCTCTTACGCACAAGTGATAAAACTTCTTGATTGGGATGCTGAACTTCCGATGTGAACAGCTTTGTGAAATATTTAGTGATGTGATTCATCAAATCCTTTTCTGTTAACCATTTTCTAGACTCATCTAATAGTTTCTTTATATTATATCTTTTTTCCTAGCCATGGTAGCATTATGGGAAAAAGGCGTATTACGATCCCCGTGCATCAACCAGTTCGCTCGTCCTCTTTGTAATCAGAAAATTTCCTCTTGATCCATGATATTTTCAATTAGCACAATAATTTCCTTCCGATGACCTTGAGACTCCATATTTAATGGGCCCCGCCTTAGTCTCTCCAATTCTTTTTTTTAATTTCCTAATTCTCACCTTTGGTCCCTTTAGAGTTTCCCGGTCCCAGGTATGTAGATCGGCATGTATTGCTCTCGTACGATCAACAAGTGATGGTCCAATACCAGCAAGTCTTGCTTTCTCCCAAGATGCCTTAACAATTTCAGTGACCGTCTCTTCCTTCAACCACCTCATCTCAAACTGTTTAACCCGCCCCTCTGGTTGTTTAAAGTTTTTCTCATCCAAGTAATCTGTATCCAGTACGATTGGGCGGTGGTTAGAATGAACATGTTCTTCGTTGATTACTACCGCTCGTGGAAATTTGTTTGCCCATGCTATATTACAGACCCTCCGATCAAGACGTTCACGTATTTCGCCTCTCCAAGTGAACAGGTCACCCGTATAACCAAGGTCATCCAACCCGCAATCCATTAGGCATTCACTAAATTCTCTCATCATACCAAGTGGTCTAGCCATACCACCCTGTTTTTCCAACGGGTATAAAATTTCATTAAAGTCCCCCAAAACAAGCCAGGGGTGATTGCCCTTACTATATAGATTTCGAATATCGTCCTAAGAAAGATGGCGCTCATTCCATTTTGGACGACCATAGAAACCCATGAACCGCCAGTGAACCACTTCCTCATTCATAAAAACAATATCAATAAAGTGGGGCAAGACATAGTTCAACTCGATTTTATCCAACTTATGATAAAACAAAACTAGGCCACCAGCCTTACCATCGCTTTCCACTACAAACATAGAATCAAAACCTAAATTACGACGAAGCTCATTGGCTTTACAATTATTCAAATGGGATTCAGAAAGGAAAATTAAATATGCCCTTGTACGCTCCTGTAGGTCCAGAAGCTCACGAACTACCGTGTTGGAGAGCATACCAAGGAAGTTCCATCCTAGGATTTTCATTTGTCCTAGCGATCCTCCTCCTCGGAGGCCGCCGACGTGCCAATCTTGTCTTTCTTTTCGCCAACCGATTCCACTCCCTGCAGAACGTACTCTTCTTCCTTCTCGTCGGTCTCCTTTGCAACGTGTGTAACCCCGCCCTCCTCGTCCTGGACAACTACAACTCTACCCGTACACACCCGTTTGGATGAGACGGTTACATCACCAGATAACATGCGCTCATAGCTATCCATCTCCTTTTCAAAGGAAAACTCTAAGTCACTACCCGTCGGCTGAATCCCAAAAGAATGCCCCCTTTTTTCCCCTAGTGCTTGCTTGTGGGAATCCTCAGCTCTCTTTGCCCCCCTTTTT